GTTTAACAAGCACCTCCAGGCTGTTGGATGTGGAATCTGTGAGCTGCCGTCTTCAAACCCTTATCTTAGTGAATGGTAGGACCTGACACAAGGAAGCTGGCTGCCTGCCACGAGCTTGGCAAGCTCCACTGAATCCTTTAGAGGGCGCTCTTGAACAGCTCCCAGACGAAATGGGCCCTCCTGCCTTTGTGTCTTGAACTCAAGCTGCAGGCGTTTTCCTGATTCCCTAACCCACTTCCCCGGGATCCTCCCACTACCAGCCATGCCCGCCAACTCCATTCTCCACAGCAGAACCAGAGCTCGCATTTCCCCTCCTCAGCCCTCGGTACACCCCTACCCCGCTCTGAGGGGTTAGGGTCCTAGTCTCATTGCTTGCTCTACACTCTGAACCATCCGTGGCAAGCCACCAGCAGCCTACAAAGCATGAGCCTTGTTCACCCCAGGGCCCTGCACACCTCGAATTCCCTCTAACCCGGAAGTTCTTTAACCCACCTGCTTTTTCTCCAGGTCTTGATCTAACCATACCCCTTCTGCAAGGCCTTCTCAGACCTCCCGTGATCCAGCTGCACGCAGAGTTAGTGCTCAGTGTGTGTGTGGGCTGCCCTCCCCTTCTGGAGGCAATAACCTACGCGCTTCATTATCTCTCTGGACACACAGTGGCTTGGGAAAGCAACTGCTAGGGAGACTGGACAGACTGGGAAGTTAATGTGTGAAGCAGAGACTGGCTTGTGGATGCTGACACATGGCCACTGTGCCATTTGCAGGTAGGCAGGAAGCTGCCATCATCAGTGGCCTTTACTCATGGCACCAAGGAATCACGCGCCGCACGGCCACTTTGCAAGTTTCTATTTGTTGCACAGTTTATACCCTTCAGTGTAGCAGATGAGAGGAAGTGCTTTAGGGTAGACTTGCCCCTGCCCTTTAGTTTCTGAATTACCTCAGACAGTACTCCACTGGAGATTTTGCATCGGATTAGTGGAGAGCAGTTGTTCAGCAAAGGTGAGACTCCGAGCTCAGTCCTGCTATGGTCTTAATGTGAAATGTCCCTCACAGGCCCGTGTTTGGACACATGGTCCCTAGCTGGTGGTGCTGTCTTGGAAGGTTGTAGAACCTTTTGGCCACGAGGCCTGGCTGGCAAACTTAAGGCTGTGGGACAGGCTGTGAGCATCACAGGCTTACTTGGCTTCCAGTCTGGCTCTCAGTTTTCTGGTTGCATCCATGTAACTGGCAGCTGTTCTATGCTCCCAGAGTCACAGACCAGGTCTAGCCCATGCCTTCCCTGTGTCCATGTCTCCTAAACCATACTGTGAGTCAAAACAAACTTCTCCTGACTTAAAATGAATTCTGCCAGGTATTCAGTCAAGAAAAGCAATTAACACAATCTCCAGCACTCGAAAAAAAAAGACCCATTAAACACATTTATTTATTTTGCAGTGTTTGACATGGAACCCAGGGCTGTGTGTATGCTAGCTAAGTGCTTTACCAGGACACCATATCCCCAGCCCTGTTATATTTTCCTTATGTGTGGTGCAGTGTTTTAGGCACTGAAGACCCAGTAGTCATGGCAGATTCTTGTTTTGTAAGCAAGGTGAACTCATCCCTCCTAGCTGTAAGAACTGCCCCGCCTCCATATGCTAATAAAGGGATGCACAGAAGGCCAGTGTGCAAAACACCAGGCTCCTCCCCCACTGGAGCCATCTCCTTCTTAGACTCCACTTTGGGAAAACAGGAGAAAAAAAATCTGGTGTTATTTATGCTCTGCCTGCAGTCCAAGATTTAACTCTTAAGTATCTGTCACGTAAGACTTATCTCCCTTGTAGCACTTTAGGCCATTTGAAAGAGACCTATCAAAATATTTAGGTAAAGTTAGGTGCTTTGGCAAAAGAACAGAGAGAGAGGCCTAGGTTTCTGCCTGGGCCTGATGTCTCTTATGTCTGCCTAAGTCTTCGTCTTCCCTCAGCTTGGTGGCTCTCTTGGTTCTAGCTCCTTCCTTTGCAGAAGTAAGGGCTCTCAGCCTGAAGGCCCAGTTTCCACCTCGCTAGCTCCTGACTGGGAACAGAGGACTCAGGGCTTCCAACCATGAGAAGAAAGAGAAGCCACAGCTGCAAACGAATGGGCAAAGAGAGCTCCTTGAATCAGAGGCTGGTGTACAGCCCCAGAGCATTGCCATTCCACATAAGCATGAGATATGGGGTGGTGAGGACAAATAACACCCTCAAGTCAAACCTGGGGACACATGCCTGTAACTCCAACACTCGGGAGCAGGAGGACCAGGGAGGGGTGTGGGGTTCAAAGCCAACCTCAGCTGCATAGCAAATTCAAGGCCAGCCTTGGTAACATGAGATCCTGTGCTAAAAACAAAACAAGGGGTGCGTGTAGGTGCCTTAGTCAATAAAATGCTTCCCATGTAAGCATGAGGACTGAAGATCCCCCAGACCCACATAAGAAGCTAGGTATATAGTGCGTCTGCAATCCCAGTACAGCGGAGGCAGACAGAGTCTGTCTCAGAAAGAAAGGTGGGGGGTGACTGAGGCAGAATCATGCTGTCAGCCTCTGGCCTTCACACACACACACACACACACACACACACACACACACACACACACACACACACACACACACACACTCTGTCTCTCTCTCTGTCTCCCTCTCCCCCCCCCATACCCATACATACTGTGCATGCATATGCATGTGTACACATATACTACACATACAGCAAAACATACACAAGCCCCAAAACTCTAAAATGCATCATGGGAAACTCTGGGTCTCTGGCTGGCATGGTCGCACATATCTGTAGTACCAACTATTTGGGAGGCTGAAAGAGGAAGATCACTTAAGCCCAGAAGTTTGGGGCCAATTTGGATAAGACAATATATCCAACAAATTCCCACTCTAAAACCTGTACTTCACTATTATTATTACATGTATATTTTATGTGCATGAATGTTTTACCTCCATGTACGTATGTGCACCACGTTTGTGTTTGATGCCTGAGGATGTCAGAAGAGAGTAGTCATTGGATCTGCTGGGAACGGAACCCAGGTCTCTGTAAGAGCAACAAATGCTCTAAACCACTGAGCCATCTCTCTAGCTCCTAAACCCTGTACTTAAAGTTTCTACTAAATAATTAAATGCAAAGTTAAAAATGGACAGCTTTGTTTGGCCTGGAAACACATACCCGCTAATTCTACTTAGGAGGTAGGAGTAAGAGAATCAGGAGTCTAAGAGCAGCCTGGTTTCATGAGACCTAAGCTCAAAACTAACCTGAGGACACAAGACCCTGTCTCAAAAAACATAAAAGTTAACTTTTGCAGCCGGGCGTTGGTGGCGCACGCCTTTAATCCCAGCACTTGGGAGGCAGAGGCAGGTGGATCTCTGTGAGTTCGAGACCAGCCTGGACTACCAAGTGAGTTCCAGGACAGCTTCCAAAGCCACAGAGAAACCCTGTCTCAAAAAAAACAAACAAACAAAAAAAAGAATGGTGCAGAGACACAGTACACCTTCAGAAAGTAGGCAGGGCTGGCGATGCAGCTAAACAATTCATAAAAAGATAAAAAATCATGAATGAAGCCTGTGGTTGAGCCCAGGTCTCTCCAATATCTCTTCATCTCTCTCTGTTCCCTCTTCCATTCTCCACCTCCTCTAGCTTCTCTCTAAGGTCTCATGTAGCCCAGGCTGGCCATGAGATCCTAATCTTCCCTCCCACATTTCCCAAGTGCTAAGATTATAGGTGTGTGCTACCAAGCCTGGCTTCTCTTTAATGTCCAGCGTCATATTAAGAAACACCCTACTTGGGGCTGGAGAGATGGCTCAGAGGTTAAGAGCACTGACTGCTCTTCCAGGGGTCCTGAGTTCAATTCCCGGCAACCACATGGTGGCTCACAACCATCTACAATTCAGTCTGGTATCCTCTTCTGGCATGTAGGCAGAACAGTGTATACGTAATAAATAAATCTTAAAAAAAAAAAAAAGAAACACCCTACTTAAACAAGTAAATACTCTGTATTGAGTTCGAATACCAGAGGGTAAAGGCAGCTGAGAGTAAGTTTGCATCGAGAAGTGGCAGCTTCCAACTCATCGAAAATCTGACCCAAAGGCTGTGGGCCAGACTTCTCAAGCTCTAGATTGCTTCAGACAAGAACCGTTTCCATCCACTCCAACTTACAAGACTACCTTCTGCCTGAGCTTCACAGGCTCAGACTTTACCAAGCGAAGGAGGCCAACTCCTCCCTGTCAGGGAGTGTCAAATATTTTGAACTCCTGAGATTAAGGCCAATTGCTACTAGGATTAAATTTATTTATATTTAAGCAACTCTAAGCAGATCAGGTGTAAGCTATTAATTAATGAGCAGAAAGGTAAATGCTGGCTGGGGCAAATTTGTATGTAACATAATAGTAATCCACCTAACTGTCAAGTGTGGGGTCCCATGAAGAGGCACAGAAGCCACCTCTGTGGTCTTCCAGGTTTTTCTCTATCATCCTGTAAAAACCCAGTGAAGAGAGGAGAGTAATCCTAACACTTAGTAGGCTGAGGCAGGAGGATTGCTATGAGTTTGAGGTCAGCCTAGTCAAAGAGTGAGACAAGGCTCCAAACAAATGGACGAGCCAACAAACAACCTACCCTCACACCTACTGAGGGGGCAGCAAGTTTGTATGAGCAAACAGCTTGGAAGTAAAGCATTTTACTTAAGAGAAATGACTTTAGAGTCTAACAAAAGAGTCATCTGACCTCTTCCTCTGTCCCAAACCCCTCAGACTTTGAAAGGACAAGAGCACCACTCTGGAGCTCTTTTTTTTTTTTTTTTTCCCCGAGATAGGGTTTCTCTTGGAGGCTGTCCTGGAACTCACTCAGTAGACCAGACCTGCCTCTGCCTCCCGAGTGCTAGGATTAAAGGTGTGTGCCACCGTCGCCTGGCACCACTCTGGAATTCTTATGGATTTATTTGCTTCAGAATTGCTCTTGTGTCCCCAGTGAGTTGGATAAGAACTTCTGGGTCTAAAAGGGATTAGGTCACTTTATTTTTTTCAAGTGCTGCAACATTCAAAAAACAATTTTGGAGTGCATGGATGGGGTGGGGTAGCACCATTTAGCATATTGTAAGAGGCGAGGAAAAAAATCTGTAATATTCAATGTCTAAGAATAGAGTAGGAAAGAATACCTTAAAATTCCCCATCTGGACAGACCCTGAGCTGAAGTCACACTCATCTGTGAAGACAAATGTTTGGGCTGCAACTGTTGAGAATATGGATCCTGACCTTGGGTTTGGCTGGTGAGAGCTTCCAGATGCTCTATGAATGACGGGATATACACCATCACTTGGCTTGGGAGAATTGTATAATCCCAACCCTCCTGGTTCTCCAAGGGGACTGCTTTAATCTGATTCCCAATATATTTTTAATTTTGAAACAGGGTCTCTCTACATAGCCCTGTTTGTCCTGGAACTCTACGTAGATCAGGCTAGCCTTGAACGCATAGTGATCCTCCTGCCTCTGCCTCCCAAGTGCTGCCCAATACTTTTAAAAACAAGCATGTGAAAAACTTCTCAGCAACATCTCACATGAGCATTTGTGGCCTATTAATAGAAACAGAGGAACCAACAATGGATGTGAATTCAGACACGAAGCTCACAGTACAGTTGTGAATCTCTGGGTGGCTGTGCCCTAGGGGCGGCCATGCAGGCGACATCAACCCGAAGAGGGTGTGAACCCCAGCAGCTGTTCAATGGGTTTAAACCGCCACTCATCAGCCTCCAGCTCTTCCACCAAGCCAGCCAGTTTTTCCATCCGAGCAACTTGCTGATCTGTAGAGAGTCAGAAGTGACTGTGAGACTGTCACCAGTCACCAATATGACCCCTGGCCTAGAATTTGTAGATGGGCTTTCTTTCCCGCTTGAGATTTAGTAGCGGGGTCTTACTTTAAGTAGGTCTGAAGACTAAGAACATTCCCAACCATCTTCCATTAATCTGCATTACATCTCCCCTTTGCTTGCAATGATGGAGACCGAACCCAGGGTCAAATGCTCCAGCACACAGCTGCATGAGCTTCCATGTGTATGTGTATACATGTATATGTGTACACTTGTATGTGCATGTGTGTCATGCAGATGGTGGTCAGAGGTTGGCATTGGGTGTCTTCCTGAATCCACTCATTCTCATTGTTTTTTACTCTTTGTGTCTGTGTGTGTCTAGGGAAGCCAGGAAAGGGTGTCAAATCCCCTGGAACTAGAGTTACAGATGGCTGCCAGTCACCGTGTGGGTCCCCTGGAAAGGCAGCCAGTGCTCTTAATTGCTGCGCCATCTCTCCAGCCCCTTTATCTGAGTGTTTTCCTTTTTCTTGCAGTTGTGTTAATTCATCAAAGTCTATCATCCCTTTATCTCCCTTCAGGCTCAGCCCTCATTGTGACCAAATCTGTTCTTTCTCTGAGTCTTGAAAGTTTTTTTTTTTTTTAACCAGACAGGGTTTCTCTGTATTGTTTTGGAGGCTGTCGGTCCAGCCCGGCCTCGAACTCACAGAGATCTGCCTGCCTCTGCCTCCTGAGTGCTGGGATTAAAGGCATGCGCCACCACCGCCCGGCTGGAAGTTTTTATTCTTAAAGTGACTTTCAGTGCAATTATTAAGAAATACAGACAGTGCTGGAGAGATGGCTCAGAGGTTAAGAGCACTGACTGCTCTTCAAAGGTCCTGAGTTCAATTCCCAGCAATCACATGGTGGCTCACAATCATCTATAATGAGATCTGGTGCCCTCTTCTGGCCTGCAGACATACACGCAGGCAGAATACTGTATGCATAATAAATAAATCTAAAAAAACAATACAGGCAACTCTCTTGGGCATGTACTCTCCTTTTCCTAAAGGTTTCTCTATAAATCTCTATGCTTAAACCTGTATTGAAATGTTCCCTGCCCGCCTCCCCCAAAAACATACAGTGAAGAAGCTCCCTGTAGCAAGACAGGGATTTGGAAGTGAATTGCCCTAAATTTCCTTAATAAACTCTCCTCATCTTCATTTTAAAAAAGTAAAGAGAACATATATGCAAGAGAAAGATATAAACACATACAGAGACGGGTGGGGGGAAGACGGCAAGACAGATACAGAGAGGGAGAGATGCGAGTGTGTGCATAGGAGTGTGCGCTTGTGTGCACGCATGCACCAACACACACACACACACACACACACACACACACACACACACAGATTGGGTGGGAGAGAGAGAAGATTAAAAGTAGCAAGAAGCAGGAGTTCAAGCTTAGCACTTAGGAAGGAGGATTGTTCAGAGTCCAACCTGGGCTACACAGTGAGTACTAAAGTAAGAAAATACAGTCATAATAATAATAAAGGAAAAAATACAGCTGGGTGGTGGTGGTACACGCCTTTAATCCCAGCACTTGGGAGGCGGAGGCAGGCAGGTCTCTGAGTTCAAGGTCAGCCTGGTCTACAGAATGAGAGCCAGGGATACACAGAGAACCTTGTTTTGGGAAAAAAACTAACAACAAACAAAACAAAAAACCCAGTTATCACAGTAGGGGGATGAGCCTCATGGTGGAGCACATGGTTAGCATGTGTCATGCTCCTCATTTGAGCCCTGGCTCTGTAAAAGGACAATCACCATCTCATATTCTCAGTATGTGCTAGATTCTACATGGAGCTAGACTTAGTGGTTATGTCTATATATAATCCCAGCACTCAGGAGGCTGAATAGGAAGGACCTAGAGTTTGAAGCCAGGCCCAGCTACATCATGAGACACCTAGGAACAAAAACACAGTATAGACAGGTCCTTGCTCTCCAAGCCACAGGGACCCATTCAGATGCTCCCATGGGTTTCTCCTAGGAGGAACGGTCTGCAGGGGAAATGGTTCCCTGATGCGTATACATCACCAGGGGCTCAGGGCAGAAGGTGCTCCACAGGCACTAGAAGAAGGTGGAGCATGAAGCCAAGCGGTACAAGATCTTAGAAAGGGTAGGTAAAGGCAACAGAAGAGCAGGAAGCGTCAGTTCCTGAGAGAACTGAACCAGGGACTTCAACTTCAAACCTCCAAGGAGGTTTTTAATCTGGACAAGATCTTAGAATGCTCTTCACTTCAGAAAGTCACTTATAGTGTTTGGGGCTTTTGTCACAGCACAGTGACCTTTTAGAACTTGCACTCCCTGCTTCCCATAAGTGTACATTTGTAGTCAAGACAGCAGCCCATGCACTTACCATGCTTCACCTGTTTAAGCGTGGATGCTACTTGATAGCTAAACACCGACTCACAGAGGAACCTCTCAGAGCCATCTACGAGAGAAAAGACACAGGCGGTAGTTTTAATGGCTTCTGGAAAAGCAAGAGGGCCTGTCCATTCTTCCCCTGTGTCGACATTTGAGGTCTAAGGCATTTCTGGTGTGAACACAGGGGGTCGTTTAGAATCCTCTTCCATACCTAGAATATTAAAATAGACCCACTCATTTGAGAGTTCAAAAATAGTGCTACAAAAACAAAAACAAGAAACCTTAGCTCAATGTCCTGGTCACCACTGCCCCCCTCCTGACCTCAACAGCAGGCAAACAAGGCAGCTGACACACCCAGCTATGTGGTGCTTGTGTGACGTATGACAAAACTTTATTCTAAAAAACAGAGCCAAGGGAAAAACAGCTGTTGGCTTTTAATATATCAAATTGTACCACCATGACCATCACAGAACCCTGCTGGGAAACTCCATTCTGTAAACACCAATTGTAACCCGGATCTTCCAATTGAACCAAGCCCTGCAATCTGAATGACTAAGGGAATGGTGCGAGTTCAGAACCTAGCACTGAGCTGGTGCCAAGATCTGCAAACATGAAGGTGGCTAGCTCAATCATGATGCTCAGAGGGTGATTGGGAAACCTGACACTCGTCAGTGCAAAGGCTGATCTGGCAAAACATATCCCCAAAGACACACAATTCACGTAGGAAAATTCCATGTTTTAAAGGACAGCCCCCCCCCGGGGCAGGCGTTTCATTACCAAAGTTCTCAAACAAATGGAAAGAGAGGACACAGCTGTCTCTCTCAAGGTAGCAGCTCACACCAGCACTGCTAGATGTCAGGCACGGATTGGCGTGTCACGGGTATTAAGTCACCGGTATTAAGTGACAGGGCTACCAACATGTTCTGGCCTCATGCTGAGCTTCACACAAACCTTTCTTTACAAGTCCCGGTGATCAAAGGGAAAAGTACAGCTACTGAGTCTATCTGGATGGTGTGAATACACAACCAAAAAAGCTTCCTGCTAATATTAAGTCAATGGGGGGGGGGGAGAGGGGAGGGGGAAGAGGAGAGAGGGGAGAAAGAAAGAGAGCGAGAGAGAGGAAGAGAGAGACAGAGACTAGCCTTCCATCTTTCTTTCTTGAGGTGTGCTGGGGGTCAAATACCTCCTAGGTGTACTGGCTGCTCCTCAACTGCACCCCTTGCCTCTGACTGGAGTAGAGGTCTAGACATGCTGACGACACCGTGAAGTTTATCTAGGTAAGAGCAGAGAGCAGTGGACAACTCCAGATCCCACCAAGGGCTCAGCTACAACTTGGGACTCACTTTGCAACAAGCAAAGCACGGAGAAGCAGAGCTGGCCTCCCAGATGGTTTAATCCTGAACTGGAGGAAGTGGGCATTATGGACTGGAAGAATCAAGTGACATGTGGGGAAGTTCCTGGAGGTGCCATCTCCCACCTTCATTTAATCACTAGAATAAAGTGCCTAAGTCATCACACTGGCCTGTCTCTCTTGGTGATGAGTTCCAAAGCAAAAAAAATAATATAAGCTCACCTTCCAAAAAGGTGCCTGGGTATCATTGTCTCGAACTTCATGCCTAACACTGCATCCTGCTCATGTGTAGCTTTGTATTAACTACCAAGTCCACTGCTTCTTAAGCACATGCTATCAGATGTAACATCTACCAATCCAAAGGCTGGGATTTCTCCAGAGAGGGGTCAGCCAGAGGTGACCTGTCTTCTATTTACAAATGCAATCAACACACTGGGCAGCTGTGCATCAGGGTGAAAAAGTTCAGTAAATGGCCCAAATCTAACACTATCACCAATTCCATTAAATTCAATGCTACAGGAATTCCTTTAAAAGGTATTATTTTCCAGAATGAAATTAGAGAATCCCAGGTGACTTGTAAATCAGCGGCCTGGGATGTCCCTAAAATATAGCCATGTTTGGGCTAGAAGGCAACGTCTCCTTTATTTGTTCACTAATAACTGGGTGAGAACAATCTCAGCTGAGGGTAGGAGACAGCTAAAGCCTGCTTCGTACTGCACCATAAAGTTCGTGCAGGAGGTTAACTACAGGTTGTTTGCATTTACTACCCTAGATTTGGGAGCAGGCAACATCAAGTTGAACCTGTTGGGATTCTGACACACACCCAACCTTGACTCCTAAGTGCCTTTGCTCCTTACTCTCCAAGGCGACCTTGCTATGCTCCCTTTCTTTTTAGAAAGCCCCACCTTTGCCCAGGCTGGCATGGAAGTCTGTAGCACAGGCTATCACTGAACTCACAGCCTTCTGAGCACTGGGATTACCTGGATCCATCAGCATGGTTTGTTTTCACTTCCCTCTTCTACTGCATGGATAAGAGACCAATGGGGGCTGGGCATGTGGCTCAGTGGGTAAGCTGCTCAGCTAGCAGCCATGGAGCCTTGGGTTTGGTCCCCATCATGGGACAAACCAGACATAGTGATATATACCTGTAATCTCAGTTTGGGAGGTAGGAGACAGGAGAAGGAGTTCAAGGAGTTAGAGGTCAGCTTGGACTACACAAGACTCAAAAGTAAACAAACAATGAAGAAGAAGCACGGTTTGAGGCATGCATATACACTGTACAACAGTGTCACCTCCAAATCTGACACCACTGTCAACACTCATTTAGGAGTGTTACATGGAAGGACATACACAAGTTATGTGCAAAGACCATGCCATTCCATGGAAGTTATGGTATTTGGCATTCCCCTCCTTCTACCATGAGACCCCAGGGATCAAACTCAGGTGGTCAGGTGTGGCGGCAGCACCTTTTACGTGGTGAGATGGCTCACCAGCCCCTTCTCCATATTCTTGGTATTAAATGGTATGTCAGATACTTGATTTAGCGAAGTTATTTGTTTTCCAATCTGTCTTTAAACGTAAGCAGCTTTGAAGGTGACTGGGAAGACTCTGGGATGCAGGAGGGCTACAACTGTGCACTGTGCATTTAAATGTAACAAATCCATTCTACAACAGAACCCAGTCAATTCCCCAATGAGGTAAGAAAACGGTCAGATACAACCCTGTTAGGATACCAGCATAAGACGAACTTAAATGATTTTTTTCTTGAAGCAGTGTTAAGCACTGATTCTCTTCGGCTCTACAGAGCTCATTAAGCAACCTAACTGCCTTCAACTTGTCATTTTTTCTGTGGGAAACTTCCTTGATCACATCTCTACTGCAGAGAGCTAAAGTCCTGATTTACTTTAGGGCCAAATATGGAGACAAAGCTTCTACTTCCAATCAGACGTGGCGAGTATTAACACAAACGGAGACAATAAAAAGGCAAGGGCAAAAGTGCGCATGCCTGATACACCACCTTCCAGACCACACGTGGCCTGCTGCTTCACTACCAACCACATGCAATCTGCCCCAGAGCCTTATGGTGCTAGAGTATGCCTGCTTTTCTGTCACAAGCGATTCTTCTGTTTGTCCTGGCTTGCTAGGCAAGCAGCTGGGTCAAAGAATGCCCCAACACCACAAAAAAAAAAAAAAAAAAAAAAAAAAAAAGAACTAGTTATGGTATTTGGCATTGTTTAACCTGAAACTTTTTAAAATATCTTATATAAATGCACAATGCTTACCTCAAAAAGCCAGCCCCCAAGTATAGTTGGTGCCTTTCTCAGAGACATCTAATTAATTTAAAATATTCCATGCAAATATGTAAGATTTAAATAAGAAAAGACCATTTTATAATTCAACAGAAAAATGCTTGACTCAAGTGATTTTGAGCCCTTAATAGGTTCTTTGCCAATGTTTTTAAAGTATGTGAAGACTCCCTCATGAGAAGGCCCTGGACACTGGCCAAAAAACAAAGATTCCTGTCCTAGTCTAATTCAGGATCTCTAGGGTGAGCCCAGACACGTGCTTTTTATCTTTTTGTTTCTTTTTCGAAAAGAAAAAGGGTCTCATTGTACAGCCCTGGCTGGCCTGGAATTTGTAGTCAACAAGGCTGGCCTAGAATTCAGAGATTCGCCTGCCAAGCAACACATGTTCATTTTAAGTGTCTCATGTGAGTTTAATGCGCCTACAATGAATTACCAGTCTAGCTTAACATGAACCTTCTGCATTCCAGGCACCAGCACCGTTTCATGACCACTGCCTGTGACCTATTTCTGGCCAGCCAGTCTGCAAATGTGTGATAAGACAGTGGCTGCAAATCTGTCTCCAGTGCTATAAAAACCATTCAGTCACACAGTGATGTCCTGCAGTGGGCCACAAGAGTCACCTTCACAGAGGTAAATACATTACCTTTATCTCCTCTTCAAGCCTGTCTGGTGGGGTTAATCTATCCGTAGACACTCACTAAAAAGAAAATACATCAAACAGGGACCACAACAAGGACACCTGGAGTGGACATCAAGAGGGTTCCTGGCTCCAGTGCCAACCCTGGTCAGCTCACTCAAGGGCTTCAGCTTAAACAAGTCTAGATGGCCCTGCAGCCTAGCTGCTTTAGTTCCTCATTCACTGAAGGTCTGAAGCCAAGCACTCAGCAAACACGGCATGACATTACCTTCTAACATCTCTCCGGCTCCTTTGGGGTAGGTGAACAGAGCTTTCCGTGGCGGTGCCAGGTCTGACACACTGAAGCCAGATCCGGTGACAGAACTCCCACTGACCCCGCCAGCTGAAGATGAGGATGAGGAGGCAGCCATTCCTTCCAGTAGAATTCTTTCTTCACTAGAGAAAAACAAAACAAACAAAAGACCCAGTAAATGGAAGGTTTGTAAAACCAGGTTGACAATATTTCATTCTAGCCCAGAAGGGTCAGCTTTCTCCCTTTATGTTTTTTTTTTTTTTTTTTTTTGGTTTTTCGAGACAGGGTTTCTCTGTGGCTTTGGAGGCTGTCCTGGAACTCGCTCTGTAGACCAGGCTGGCCTCGAACTCACAGAGATCCGCCTGCCTCTGCCTCCCGAGTGCTGGGATTAAAGGCGTGCGCCACCAACGCCCGGCTTATCCATATATTTTTATAATGTCACTTAGTAAAAACATGTCTAAGAATAGCTTGCCAAGCTGGGTGTGGTGGTGCACACCTTTAATCCCAGCGATCAAGGCAGAGATAGGCGTATATCTGTAAATTAGAGGCTAGCCTGGTCTACAAAGCAAGTTCCAGGACAGCAAAGAAACACAAAGAAACCCTGTCCAAAAAAAAAAAAAGGAAGAAAAAAAAGTTCTATTTTCTCCCATTAGCAAGTTGTGGCATTTGGGATTGAGTGTGGATGATTTAGGAGTTAGGAAGGGTGCTATGTCAGTGCCAAAGCAGAAATGGCCCAAGTATAAATATCCTTGATCCACAGGACAGTTTGTCTTGGGCGCATCCGCACTAAGCCGTACCAAGAAGTTCACTTACCAAGATTTCCAAGTAAGAGTCCAGAATAACATTCTGTTCTGTTCTCAAGGAAGGGAAATTAGTTAGGAAACACATATTGGCACTTTCATTAAGAAATTGTTAACCTTTTCATCTAAATGTAATGCCTAAATCTAACACTTGATGGCGACCAAAAACTGAACAAAGTAATTCAGGAACTGATCTCAGAAACCATGGCTCTTTATGAATTGAGCATCTGTGGGCTTCATCCTGGGTCATTTCTGAAAATCCAGATCCCAGTACTGAATACATGACTTCCCACAGCATATGAAATTATATCTATACCTCTCTTTACACACACATACACTTTTTTTTTTTTTTTTTACGAGACAGGGTTTCTCTGTATTGTTTTGGAGGCTGTCGGTCCAGCCCGGCCTTAACTCACAGAGATCCGCTTGCCTCTGCCTCCTGAGTGCTGGGATTAAAGGCGTGTACCACCACTGCCCAGCTGTTGTTTTGTTTTTTGAGAGAGGGTTTCTTTGTATAGCTTTGGCTGTCCTAGAGCTGGCTCAGTAGACCAGAATGTCCTTGAACTCACAAAGATCCACCTGCCTCTGCCTCCCAGGTGCTGGGATTAAAGGTGACACTGCTGCCTGGTTATTTTTTTTAAGATTTAAGATTATAAATAGGTCACTGTTATAACATGTTTCAGAATTAAAAAGAAAAAACATTTTGGCTTTTTATAAAAGAGATTTCTTTTTAACGATCAACTCCCTCACTCGTCATTACAAGGACCTGTGCACATTTTAACTCCCAGTCTCCTAAGGCACAGTGTTTAATGCTAACACCGCCACCTGCTGTGTAGGCACACAAGGCAGGGTATTGGCACTTGGAACAGCAAGTCTCTGAACATGATCAGCCATTGAAGAAGACGTCTAAGTCTGAGCATCTTAGCTGTGAGGGTCAGTTCCGCTATGCAGGACTTTTTTGAACAAAGTAATTTTCTCAAACTGGTTGAATTCACCAGTGGTAAGGAGGGGGATTTGGTAAAAATAGTTTCTGTAAATAATAAGAAATATGAGCATGGAATAATAGATGGAGGCAATCCCCTTAAATCCAGACTAGGGTCCTAGTTTGTCACTGTCTCAGCAACCCAGCAAAGGGAGAGCATGCACAGCCTCGCTTGGCCCACCATCTATCTACTGAGATGTGGCAAAATCTACAACTGGTCCTCTTGGTTTTTTTAAATCTAACCAAAAAACTTTTAGACCTAGTGTATAATTTAAAAATAGTTACTACCATGTTTATGCCATCTAGAACTTTGTCACCATGGAAATGTACAGATTAATTCTAGTTCTGTCCAATAGAGTAGCCAGGAGACTTATGCTGTGGTTATTAAAGTAACTGAAGAGCTCTATGTCTACTTTTGAAAGCTAAATTAAATTTCAATAGAACCATGTGGCTCGTGGTCTTTCACTGGATAATGAATTCTAGCATTTAAATGAACAAATGACTTTACATGGTAGTAGTGGTATGCACCAGTATGGGATGTTCCAGTTACTCCGGAGGCTGAGGCAGGGGATTGTATACCCAGACTACACAGGCAGGAGTCTGTTTCAATAACAAGAAGCAGTGACTATTTTTTTACATTACATAAGTTTTAACATTTTTTAAAAAAGGCTATTTATTTATTTATTGAGAGGGTCTTAATTTGTTGGCCTGGAACTATACCCACACTATATAGCCAGGAGTCTGTTTCAATAACAACAGGCACTGGCTATTTTTTACATTACAAAGGTTTTAACATTTTCAAAAAATGCTATTTATGTATGTATGTATGTATGTATGTATGTATGTATGTATAGAGAGGGTCTTAATTTGTTGGCCTGGAACTAACCATGTAGGTTGGCCTGATCTGAACAAAACTCATGGTAAATGCCACTCTGTCAGCTTCTCAAGTGCTGGGACCACAGCCATGAGTCACCATGTCTGGCTTAAAAATGATCTTTAAGGGCTGGAGAGATGGCTCAGTGGTTAGGAGCACTGGCTGCTCTTCCAGAGGTCCTGAGTTCAATTCCCAGAAACTACACGGTGGCTCACAACCATCTGTAATGAGATCTGGTGCCCTCTTCTGGCCAGCAGGGATACATGCAGGCAGAACACTGTATACATAATAAATAAATATTAAAAAAAAAAAGAGAGAGAGAGATCTTTAAGGACTGGAGAGATAGCCCAGTTGTTAAGAACACTAGCTGGTCTTCCAGAGGTCCTGAGTTCAATTCCCAGAAACCTCATAATGACCCATAACCAACTGTAATGAGATCTGCCCTCTTCTGGACTACAGGGATACATGCAGACAGAAAACTGTATACATAAATAAATTTTTAAAAAATTAAGAAAAGAATCTTTAAAATGAATTTTCCAGGGCTGGGGATATTGTTCAGTTAGTAGAGTGCTTGCCTAGTATGCAGGAATCCCTGGGCTCAGCTCCTAGCACCATATAAGCAAGGTGTGGTAGCAAAAAAGTACAATTCTAGCACCCAGGAAGCAGAGGTAGGAGAAGCAGAAGTTCATGTTCATCTTTGGTTCTGTAGTAAGTTCAAGACCAATCTGGGATACATGGGATTCCTTAAAAAAACAAAAACAAACCTAACCAAATTCAAACCAAACCAAACCAACCAACCAACTAAACAAACAAACAAAAAACCCAACACACAGGAAAAAAACAAGATAAAACAAACAAAAAACCTCAACAAAAACAGCTCCCCTCTGTTACGGGCAGAGAGAATTTTGCAGACTAGTTTTCACTGCCCCCTAGTTGACATACTTGCTATAAAATGTTTGAGGGCAGGGGTATAGCTCAGTGGTGGAGAACAAGCTTCCAGCACTTGAGGCTCTACTTTCAATCAACAATGTTTAACAAGTTGAGAATGTTATGTTTCTGTAAATCCTTTATGTCCAGAGCTTCTGTTTTCCTTCTAAGAGAATGGTAAGTGACATCTGAAATGGTGGCTGCTGTTTCCTAACTATACATGCAGCAGTGATACGTGGGTGTCAGAGAAGCAGAGCTTGGTTTCTAGTTCCACCATGTCCATCCATTCAAAGGTTGCACTAATGAACGCTGACGTGGGATAATGAAACAGTAAGGCTATTGCTATCATTAGATTATTATAAATGCAAACTCATTAGTGATCTTTTTAACTTTCCTTTTTTTTTTTTTTTGAAATAGGCTTTCACTGTGTAGCCTTGGCTGTCCTGGAACTTGCTGTGTAGTCTAGGCTGGCCTCAAACTCACAGAGTTCTGCCTGCTCTCAGTGCTGGTATCAATGGCGTGGCCACTATGCCCAGCTCATTAATGATACTCTTATTTTTGCTCTTAGGTTATTTTCCAAGTTGTACTTGCTGCGCCCATCAGGGAAAGCAACCTTTCATGTGGGATTTATAACTGCTCCTTTGCACCACACTGGCTCAAAAGATAGCCTGGTAAAGTTTTCAGTGTTCCTTAAGGAGACTTAGTATTGACGGACCAGGTCCAAATCTCTAAGCGGATTCCTGGTGGGATTCAAATGAAGCATACAGTCAGACCACTCAGCCTCTTCCCCAGAGAGCAGATCTGGGTTTACATCCCCCCAGTTCAGAACAGAACCCCCAGAGAACTGTTTATTTTTCTCAACTAAGATTTTAAACTCTGATCTTTTCAACTTCCACCCTGATAATGTTCTATTTAGTTGATAATGCTTTGCATTTTGTATTTTGAGATCAGCTGACTTGCAGACTGTACATCCAAGTGGCGGCCAGCTAGCTTCAAAGGCTAGCCACAGTGACTCCGAAACCGAAGGTCATCAAAGGAACTTCCTTTCTTCCTATTTTCTTCCCAGTTCTCAGCCCTACTATAGCTCCATATACAAAACAGTCGGGGTGGAAAAACATGTGGAAATCAGCACAAGATTAGCTTTAAAAAAGCCATTTTCTGCTGAGATGCAGAGACACCTGCAGGATGTCAGGTTCTAAAGATTTGCTTAAAGCCTTTTTTTGGTTTCTTCTCTTGTTGGTGCTGGTGGTGGAAGCCAGAGCCTGTGAATGTTCCACATGTTCCACCCTGAGCTACACCTTCAGTCTCTAGTTTTGAATGCCATTAAGGGGTAAATAGAGTTAAGTTCACAACAAACCCTAGATTGTAAATGCTAAGCATAGGGGTTAACAAAGCAATTAGTGTAACTCATAAGTAGCCACTCATTTAAGTATGTTCACAGAGAGCCGGGCGTTGGTGGCGCACGCCTTTAATCCCAACACTTGGGAGGCAGAGGCAGGCGGATCTCTGTGAGTTCGAGGCCAGCCTGGTCTACAGAGCGAGTTCCAGGACAGCCTCCAAAGCCACAGAGAAACCCTGTCTCGAAAAACCAAAAAAAAAAAAAAAAAAAAATGTTCACAGAGTGCTTCCACAGTTCCCAGGAACCACTGACTTCCTAAAGGTGGTCTGGGTGTTGGAGCAATGCCTTGTTGATGTGCAGCTGTGCATGAGGGCAAGCTAGCACAGTGAAAGGACTGACCATGGGGGGGGAGGCTGGCCCAGAGGTTAAGAGTGTTTGCAGCTCTTGCAGAGGACTGGAGACAGGTTCCCAGTACCCATGCTTCATAGCTCACGTCCACCTGCAACTCCAGCTGTGGGCGATCCGCTCGATGCCTTCTAGTCTCCTGCTCTCTCTCTCCACACACACACACACACACACACACACACACACACACACACACACACACACACACACACGGTCTCTCTCTCCACACACACACAAATAAATCTTTAAACAAGAACTGACTATAACAAACTGCCTGCCTAGGTCTGTATCCTGACTTTGCTATCTACTGTATGATTGGACAAATCAATCGACTTTTTTCTTCCTTAGATTCCTCACCTGTAAAATGGAATCAATACTAGTGTCTACCTTGTAGGAGTGTTATGAAGATGAAATCAATACAGGCAAAGCAACTACAACAGCTTCAGGCTTAGGAAAAAACTACATCTTACACAAAACACAAATCAGTATTAGACATTGGCACTTGCTTTTTTTTTTTTTTTTTCAGACTGTTCTCCAGTTCCAGATCCTGCTGGGCTGGCCTACTGAGTGTTGGAATTACAGGTATGTACCGTCACACCCAGTTTTCCCTATGCAGAGCCCAGTTTTTCATTTCATTAAGTTCTAGCACAGGAAAAGTCCAAATTCTCTTTGACTTAGCTATGCTAAAAGTCCTGGAAGGAAGGGTCTGTCTGCTCAGGAGGTTGATGACATTACCTTTATGCACTTCACACATTCTACCCTCGGTCAGCTTGTTCACTTTCTTTATATCTTATTAAGAATCCTGCAGTGGGGCTGGGAAGATGGCTCAGTGGATGAACTTCTTGAACTGGGAGGTTGGGAATCCCTTGAACTCACTCGAAAGCTTTCCAGATGTGGTAGCTGCCTGTCATCCCAGCACCTGGGAGTTAAAGATAAGCGATTCCCAAGAGCAAGATGGTTAGCTAGATTAGCAGGAATGGGACACATGCTGGGTTCGGGGAAGCCATGAAAACTATGCAGGAAGACATCAGATGTCAGCTTCAAGCCTCCAGATGCACGGACACACACACACACACACACACACACACACACACACACACACACACACACACACCGAGCCCGTGATCCTAGATCTGGAGATATTATAGTCCAGGGGTAGAGAGTATGCTTACTAAGTGTGAGGCTGTGAAAAGAACCCTGTCACGTTGGAAAGCAGAAAACAAATCGCTTCTGTATCCTTGAGGCATTGTACAAGCAAAAAGACCAACAACTCTTATCACAATGTTTCCTGGATGAATGAATGATTTATAAATAATAGGACTGAGCTGGCAGCTCAGTAGAGACTGCAGGGGACAGAGATGATTGGAATTACGAAGGTCAGTCCACCTGTGTTTTGTTTTTTTTTTTCCTGATTGGGTGGAGTATGCAAGTTTGCCTCCCAGGAGGCTGCTAGGCCCATAAGAGTCACTCAGTAAAATTTTTGCTGAATGCCGATGATCGAGTATCCAGGAAGTTGGCTGTATGAGAGAAGATGGGGCGGCTGACAGCGGAAACGCTCATAGGAAAAGTAATGATATCTGTGGAACACAATATGGCTTGGTTAAATACTTACTTTGTGTACGACAGAGATGACCTTGCACTCATAAATTACTTTCTGCTTATTGTCTTAAGAACAAAACAGAGAGATCCTTCTTAAAATTAAACCTCAGAATAAGCCAGACACTTACGTCGACTCGGACCCAGTACAAAGGCTAATTATGACAACCGTTGGGTTCTAAGAACAAATCACTCCAGTGTGTTCCACCTAAACAGATGGGTCACCATCCCAATTAAATAGACGCAGCAACTCTTATGGGTGTAATGAAGACCCAGGCCGGGTCGGGGAGGAGTCAGCACACTTGTCCCGGCTACGCTAACTCCACCCAAGACACGCTTCCCACTCAGCAATTCGGGAGGAAGCAGAAGAGGCTTGCGGCGGTCCAATGCGCAGGCGCCAACCCTCCGCGCGCATGCTCATTTCGAGGAGCTCGCCTTTGCACACGCCCGGTGCGGGAGTCTCCAGGGTCTCTTTCCACCCTGTCTGTCAGTCCTGGCAGGTAGGATCCTAGGGGGTCAACTCCCCACAGAAGGTTCTGGAAGCCTTGGCTACTTACCTGAGTAGTTTGTGTACTTTGCCTGGCAGCCCCGCCCCCTGGACCAAGCCGTGCGGCTTCGTTTCGCTGCGACGTAGACGTGGCGTGCGCGTGCCCGCCTGCGCTGTGGGAGTTTTATGGCGGCGTGCGCCCGCCCCTGTGGCGGCGGCGGGGGGGGGGGGTGGTAATAGGGCGGCGCTGTCGCGCATGCGTGCTGAGGGCGTGGCAGGAGCCGGGTGAGAGCGAGCTTTCGGGGAACACTTCCGGGTCGCTTCCACCCTTAAGCCCTCCGCGCGGGCTTGGTTGTCTCGCTGTGGCAGTGTTTTCTGGTTCCTTCCTCCTGGCATAGGGCTTCTTTGTTTGCTTTTATGATTTAGGACTTCAGCTTCTCCCACGATAGTTGCACGGAGACGTATATACCTCTCCCTCTCCTAACCTCCAGGACACAGGGCTAGTCGGTTTCCGTCTCCTTGTGCGCAGTCTCTCTGCATGGAGCTGCCCAGGAAAGGTAGATGAGTATGCATCGCAGCCACCCCGCGCTCAGAGCCCAAACTTTACCTTATCAAGGCTACTGTGGTGCAGAGCTTGGTTTTAGAAGTGGGGAAGGGACGCTAAAGGGATAGCACACCAGGGTGTCATGTCATAAGACTTGGTAATCGCATCCTCTCGTCGACGTTGACTTTTCTCTGTTCTCCAAAACACAAACCCTCTCCTTGGTTCTGTGCGTGCGGCTACCGATTAGTGACTTGGCAGAGGATTGGGCCAAGCATTTATATAGAAGGGATTGTTATGTTTTCTTTGGCACTTTTAAGTTCATGGGCTTGAAGACCCAGCCATCTGTGATGGGAACATGGGCTATCCTTTACCACCGCTCGCTTTGTTTCATAATTATGTCATGCACCGTTTGTTGAGCAGTGACCTCCAGAAACTGTTTCTTCTCACTGATGTGTTGCCCTAAGAAGTATGTTAATTCGTATTTTAGTACTTTGATAGGGAAATTAGGTCTGATTGTTAGGTGTGTATTTCTCTAGCGCCTTTAAAAGAACTTAAACTCTTCCATGGGTGTTGTATGAATGATTCCTCGTTGTATTATTATATTGGATAGAAAGAATGAAGCACTTTGCCCATATCAAGACGGCACTCCTAACCTAAAGGGTTAAAGTAATCAGACACCTATATTCTCTCAAAGTCACTGGCAGTATACTACTAACAACTCTTATTGGAGGGCTGGTAAACAGATTACAAATTGCTGTCTAGAGTGAGTCAGGAGCTCTAACTGGATGGTGCGAAATGCAATCTTTGCCTTTGAATATTTTACATACAATGGCAGGCCAGTGAAAAGTGACACTGTTTTTGCTTAGGATGTGATATGAGCACAGTTATTTCCATTTGAGCCTACATAGTGGTCCACATAATGGAAGTTTTTTTTTTAGCTGATTTTTAAGTTACACTTATTTATTTTGTCTGTTCGTCTGCTTCCTGGCTGCCTGTTCAGAAGACAACCTGTAGGAGTCAGTTTTCTCCTACCGTGTGGGTTATCAGCCCTGGGAACAAACGCCATTTCCATTGAGCCATTACTGACCTAAGTTTTTATTTCTAATAAAAAAAGGTAAAAGGATGATTTATTTTTTTCAGGACTCTACTAGAATATCATTTGGAGAAAGTGTCATGGATGTTCTACGCCCACAGCTTATAACAATTGATGGTCGGAATTATAGGAAGAATCCCATCCAGGAAAAAAATTATCCACATGAAGAAGATGAGGGTGTCTATCAAGGTAATCCTTGTTGCTCTTAGGCCAGATGAGAAGTAAAATTTCTTTGTACCACAGGGGCAATCCTTTGTTTCTTGCTCTTCAGTTTCCCTGACAAAGCTGTTATCAAATGAGGTTGCATTTTATATGTCAAGATACATTTCATCATGGATTCTTAAATGCCATGAGGAATAATTTTATTCATTTTTTTCCGAGACAAGGTTTCCCTGTGTAGCCCTGGCTGTCCTGGAACTCACTCTGTAGACTAGGCTAGCCTTAAACTCAAAGAGCAGAGTCCTGGGATTTAAAGTATGGCCCAGCCCAACACCTCTCAGCTCATTATTACTATTTTTCAAAAATAATTTATTTAACTTTATTTTATGTGCATTGGTGTGAAGGTGTCAGATCCACTGAAACCAGAGTTACACTTTTAAATTGCCATGTGGGTGTTGGGGTTTGAACTTAGGTCCTCTGGAAGAGCAGTCAGGGCTGTCAGCCTCTGAGCCATCTCTCCAGCCCCCTCATTATTTTTTTTTAAGGATTGTGTGTGTGTGTGTGTGTGTGTGTGTGTGTGTGTGTGTGTGTGTGTGTGTAGATGTGATCATGGGTGCCCAAAGAAATCTGAAGAAGGTGTTGGATCTCCTGGAGCTGGAGTTACAGGTGGTTATGAATCACCCCGTGTGGGTGCTGGGAACTGAGCTCAGGTCATTTGAACAGTAAGGGCTCCTAACTGCAGAGCCCCCAGTTGGACTAAGTGTAGTTAGTTATTACTATTAACTTATAATAGTCTGTGCCAAAATTAAGCCCCTTTACTTGTGAAATTGTAAAAGAATATGATTTGTTTATTTATTTTTGAGGCAGGGTTTGTCTGTGACCCCCTGGCTGACCTGGAACTCACTCTGTAGACTGAGAGATCTGCCTCCCTTTGCCTCCTGAGTGCTGAGATTAAAGGCGTGCACCACCACGTCCAGCATTTTTTGCTTTTTTTTTTTTTTTGGTTTTTTTTTTTCGAGACAGGGTTTTTATGTATTGTTTTGGAGGCTGTCCTGAAACTCGCTCTGTAGACCAGGCTGGCCTCAAACTCACAGAGATCTGCCTGCCTCTGCCTCCCAAGTGCTGGGATTAAAGGCGTGTGCCACCAACGCCTGGCCATTTTTTGCTTTTTTGACACAGAGTCTCTCTATTAGTAACTCTCTGTTTTGTAACTCTGCCTATTCTAGAATTCACTGTCTAGGCCATCCTCTACCTCATGAGTGCTGGTATTAAAGGTGAGCATACCCATGCCTGGCTAAGAATGAGTTATTGAAATAAATATGAAAGGTATTTTGTTCAGTGTCAGGTAATATTAACTGTTGCTGCTATGACATTTTTTCTTTCTTTGTAGTTATTTGTTGACAGTTCCAGAGACACAACTAACTTTATTTTAATATGGTAATTTTGTAGATGATAAAATAAATAGTTGAGATGAGTTATAAATATTTTCAGGGTAATGACCATGTGGTTGGATTTAGCCCATAAACAGGGACTTTTAGATTCTTCGCAGCTTTCCCCTTTTTGGTTCCTAAGGATTTCCATTGGATCTTAACTTTGGGGGCCACGTCCCCTGTGATTCTCCCTACTGTATGCTGTCAACCTTGAACCCTGGACTCCTGTTTTTCATTGTGTGTCTCCTTACTATGTAGCTCAGGCTAGTAGTCTTCCTGCCTCAGCCTCTCAAATGTTGGAGGTCCTCTAGGCATATGTCACTGTGCCTGGCTTCTCTTTTTCCTGTGTTGAGGTTTTAAGGAACACATTCCTTATTTATTAATAATTCATGGAATTCTTATTTATTAATAATTCATGGAAGTAGTTCTGTGCCCTAATACTAAAACGAACTGACTTCTAGACTTTAAGAGGGTGAGTTCATATTGTGTGAATTTCATCTCAATAGAATAATAGTAAAACATGTTGTTTAGACATCTTAACTTTCTAAGAGAAAACAGCTAAATACTGGTATGTATATACTGCTTTCCCAAGGTTCCAAGACTGGAGGATTTAAAATAGTCACCATGTTCTTTTATCTTTATTTCTCCTATGAGCAGACGAGGTCTCGGGTGGTGGTGGTGGTGGTGGTGGTGGTGGTGGTGGTGGTGGTGGTGGTGGTGGTGGTGTGTGTGTGTGTGTGTGTGTGCCTTCTTAAACCCTGAAAGTGATTGGCAGCTGGGAGGAGGCTTTTTTTTTCCCATTGAGCAGCAGCATTCAGAGTTGTTATGGTTTCTTTGCAGACTCCATGGAATATTCTGATGAGCCCTGTGATGCCTATGAGGTGGAGCAGACCCCTCAAGGATTCCGGGCCACTGTCAGTGCCCCTAGCCTGCTCTACAAGTGAGTTCCCCATCAGCATCATGGGATAGCACTTCCAGGAAACCCAGCAGGGAGCCAACTCTTCAGACCTTCACACTTACTGTGAGGCTAATTGCTAATGATAGAAGCCTTTAGTATTTTGTGTCCTGAAATGTCGAAGGGCTGATTACAGATGAATGTAATCATCGGGTGTTCACAGCCACATCCTGTTGACTTTCCCTTTTAAATGTCCTTTGAATCTAATGTTATCTTTACTGCTACCTCTTTCTTTTCTATGGATTTCTTTTTTAAAAAATATTTATTTGATATGTCTGTGTGAATATTTACCTGTATGTATGTACACTACCTGTGTGTCTGGTGCCCAAGGAGGATAGAGGAGTTTGTTGAATCTTCTGGAACTGGAGTTAACAGGTGGTTGTGAGCCACATGTGGGCACTTGCAACCAAACCTGGTCCTCTGCAAGAGCAGCAAGTGCTCTTAATCACTAAGCGTCTCTCTGTGGATTTCTTAAAATAGCCCCAACAGTCTCTCTACGTTCCTACTCTCTTCTTAGTCCTTCACATAGAAGATGGAATGATTTAGAAACAGTTTTTCTGAGATTTGGTTTTGTGTGAGTTGTTTTGCCTGCACGTATACCTGGACACCATGTGTATGCAGTGCCTGTGGAGGCCAGAAGAGGTCACTATTCCCTGGAACTGGAGTTACTAGCCTCCATGTGAATGCTAGAAATCTAAGCGAGGTCCTCGGGAAGAGCAGTCAGTGCTTTCATCCACTGAGCTAATCTCTCCAGCTTCCCACCTCCCCTTTACTTTTTTTTTCTTTTTTGAGACATTGTCGTGCTTTATGGTTAAAGTTAATGTGGAACTCTTGAGATCTAGATCTAGATCTAGATCCTCTTTCCATTTACTAGATCCTCCTTCCATTTACTGAGATTGCAGATGTGCATCACCCCACCAGGCTCGGAGTGATTTTTTTTTTTTTTTTTTTTTTTTTTTTGGTTTTTCGAGACAGGGTTTCTCTGTGGCTTTGGAGGCTGTCCTGGAACTCACTTTGTAGACCAGGCTGGCCTTGAACTCACAGAGATCCGCCTACCTCTGCCTCCCAAGTGCTGGGATTAAAGGCGTGCGCCACCAACGCCCGGCTCGGAGTGATCTTTTTAAAAGGGAAATCAGATTATTTTACTACCTGCAGAGGCTCGTGAGACATCTCAGCAGATAAAGGCACTTATCATGCAAGCCTGGCAACCTGAGTTTCATCCCAGAAACCTTTGTAGAGGTGGAAGGTGGGAACAGACTGAGAGTTTCTCTGATCTCCGTGCAATGTGCTGTGCTGTGTGCATACCCACGCATGTACTTATATACACACTTATGTATACACATACACATTAATAATACATTTTAAACTCTCGGTGGTTTTCCACTAGACATAGAATTGTGGTTCATTAAAGCAATGGCCAAAATTGTGAATATGCCTTAGCTGATTCTGCTTTTGTTTGTTTTCTTTTTGCTTTAGGTCTTTCTCTGCTTTAAGGTTAGCACACCCATCTGGTATTTTCAGTTCCTCCCATGTGCTGTGGTTTTTCCAGCCTTTGAGTTCATGTGTGTGCTGTGCCCTTTGCCTCAGTCTTTCCTCTTCCTTACCTGGTTCTGTTCTCCCTCCTAGAGAAGCCTGCTTTGATCCCAGCCCTGCCTGCCAGTAACTGATTATCCTACTGTGTGTTTTTATAATGCCTCTGCTTGTGGTTTGTAGTGTTTAGCATATTCTGTGTTGCTATTCACCTGTGTGCTGCTTGCTGTCCCCTCCACAGATGGGACGGTTCTAGAAGGCAGGCGTTTGTCTGGTCATTAATCTTAGCCTGTCAGGACTGCTGTGCCTTTTCAAGGGTCACTGTTGTGAATCACGTAGGAACTCCGTGGTCACTTCAGCATGTGCTTGTGCGCATGCTCTCTCATGGCCTCCCCCACAGTAACCACTAATAGAATGTTGTCAGAAGCTACCTGGCTTCTTTTGGGCTCGCCTGGGAAGATCATCTGGTCTAAAGAGTCCATCAGTCCTTGCTGTTTTTCTGTTTTCTGGATGAGTCAGGGAACAGGGCTACAAATATGGAATCAAATGTATTTGGACTCTAATAGTTTCATCCTGGAGAATATTCTGAAGTACCTACTGTGGATCAGATTCTCCTTGAATGTAGCCAAATGGGAAACCAAAGCTGACCCTGATAGCTCCCTAAATTTCTTCCTTTGCTCTGATGACAATTTCTCCTAGGAGTCCTGATTTCAGAGCGACACGACTCAGCTTCCTGAAAAACGAAATGAGTATAAAGTGTCTTATTGTACATAAGTCCTACTGCTGAGGTGTGTGACAGTTCCTTGGAGGTCTAATTCTGATGATGGCCTTTTGCATTCTGTAGACTCTTAAGTTCTTGTGTTCCTGATGAACATATGGGTTTTAGATTAGATGTAGGACCCACTAAGTCTTAATTAGTAGATAACATTCGCTGAGAAGATTCTCCCAGAACCGCCACCCTTTTCTTTCTTTCTTTCCTTTCTTCTTCCCCTGGACTGGAACTTGCAGTCTGCCTGCTTCAGCTCCCCCATTGCTGAGATTACAGGTGTGCGCCACATGCCTCCTGGGAGATTTCTTATTTAATTTCCATGGACTTATTTGGGTCAAGGTCTTGCAGTGCTTGGGATGAAACCCAGGGCCTCTTTTTACATTGTGGGATAAGACTACTGAGCTGAGCTGAGCTGAATATTTCATTGTTGAAAGGAAAAAAACAAAACAAAACAAAAAAACCCAACTGGCCTATTACAGTAGTTAGTGGAAACAGTTAGGCTTTGTTATTCCATATAAAGACAGCTGAGTGAGGGTCACGAGCTAGCTGAAGCAGTAAAGTATATATAAAGTCTCAGGTTCAGTTCCCAAATGCTTCTCTAAAAGAATAGTTTTAGACATAGTTACCTGTGGTATTGGGTGTGTAATTGAAATCGTAGAAGTTGAACTAATGTTAATGACAGGGAGGTCTTTCCATTAACTTTACCATCCTGTGATAGTCTCTCAGTGCGTTATAGACTCTGAAACTTCTCTCCTGGGATCCACTTGTAATACTGTGGGTTCCGGAAGATAACCTTGGCTTGTCAGGATTATTTATACGAGAAGCCCAGGCAAAGAACATAGCGGAGTTAGCAGTAAATGGCTGAAATGGGGTAGATGAAAGCTGGGAGGGGATGGTAGGGTTGTGATGGGTTTGTCCCATTTGCAGGGGGAGGTTGAAAGTTGTCTCCACTCTGGTTGCGGTGAGTCACCAGATTGTTTGTATTTCAGAACCTGTACATGCACAAACATATACAGTATAAGATATGTACAGCAATGATATATTATTATAACATATATCTGTGTTGAAATCTCTCAAACAAAACACAAGTATGTGCTGTACGTAATTCAGGGTCACATGTTTACTTCCCATTTCTCTCTCTCTCTCTCTCCTCTATCTGTCTCTCTCCCATCCCAGTATCCCAGGCTAGTCTTGAACTACTGATCTTCCTGTCTCAGCCTCCTGAATGCTGATTCTAGATCTCACCAAACATGACTCTATTTGTGCTCTACAGACTATCTGAATAGTAACTCCTGATCTCTTTCAAAGCTCTTTATCCTTTGTGGTGGTTTGAATGAGAATGGTCCCCCATAGGCTCATATATTTGAATGTCTGGTTCCCAGTCGGTGGACTATTTAGGAAGGATTAGGAGATATGGTTGTGTTTGAGGAGATGTTTCCCTGGGAGTGGGTTTTGAGATTTCAAAAGTCCACACCAGGCAGTCTCACTTATGCTTTTTCTGGTGTTTGTAGATAAGATGTAAGCTCTCAGCCACTGGTGACAGTGCCCTGCTTGCCTGCCTGCTGCCATGGGTCTTCTGTTTACACACTGAGTCAGTAATGGCATCATTTGCCTGTGAGTGAAGAGAGCATGTTCTATAAAGCTTAGTGACTTACGAGTTTCTCTACTAATATTACACTTTACTGAAGTGTTTTTCTGTAAGGCCATATGGAACTTAAACATGTATTTTTTTTTTTATATTATAGGCACATAGTTGGAAAGAGAGGGGATACCAAGAAGAAAATAGAAATGGAGACTAAAACATCTATTAGCATTCCTAAACCTGGACAAGAAGGAGAAATTGGTGAGCTTTAGACATAATTTATATTTACACTAATTTCTTTTTTTATTACAGATGTGCAAACACATCCAGCCTTCAAAAATTTTTTTAAAGATTTATTTACTTATTATGTATACAATGTTCTGTCTGCATATATTTCTGCACACCAGGAGAGGGCACCAGATCTCATTACAGATGGTTGTGAGCCACCATGTAGTTGCTGGGAATTGAACTCAGGACCTCTGTAAGAACAGCCAATGCTCTTAACCTCTGAGCCATCTCTCCAGCTCCCCAACCTTCAATTTTTTTTTTTTTTGTTTTTTTGTTTTACGAGACAGGGTTTCTCTGAATTGTTTTGGAGGTCGGTCCAGCCTGGCCTCGAACTCACAGAGATCTGCCTGCCTCTGCCTCCCGAGTGCTGGGATTAAAGGCGTGCACCACCACCGCCCGGCAACCTTCAAAGTTTTTTAAAATTATATTTATTTAGTGTGTGTGTGTGAGGTGGGGTGGGGGTGTGTGTGTGGGTGGGTGTGTCTGTGTCTGTGTGTATGGGTACATAGTGCCATGGCATATGGACAATCTACAGGAGTTGGTTCCCTCTTTCCAGTTTCTGGGTTCTGGGCATTGAACTTAGATTTTCAGGTTTGACAACAGTAAGCTTCTTTATCCATTGAGTCTTCTCACTGATCACTCCCTAATCCCCTTTCTTTTTAGACAGGGTGTCATGTAACCTTGACTGGCCTTAAATTCACTATGTAGCTGAGGCTGGCCTTTAGAGAGAGAGAGAGAGAGGGAGGGAGGGAGGGAGGGAGGGAGGGAGAAGAGAGGTGTGCACATGTTCCTCTCTCTCTCTCTCTCTCTCTCTCTCTCTCTCTCTCTCTCTCTCTCTCTCTCTCTCTCTGTGGTTCCTGTGTTGCTGTGGGTATGCATGTTGCATCTGTGCATGTGGAAACCAGAGGTTGATATCAAGTGCCTTTCTTTTTCAGTTGATCTCCATCTTAAATTTTTATGTTTGTTTATTTTAGAGGTAGGATCTCTCACTGAACGTAGAACTCCTGATCTGGCCAGAGTGACTGGCCAGCGAGCCCCAGGATCTCTGTGTCCATCTTCCAAGCCCTGGAGTCACAGATGTGCTCTCTACACCCAAGTCTTATTCGGGTTCTAGGGATCCAAATTCAGGTCTTGATGCTTGTGCTGCAAGCACTTTACTGATCAAGCACCTCCCCAGCCCCAAATACTGTACTTTCAGATTTATTCTGTTTACGTTGAATTCACTAGCAGTTTTCTTCACCTTGGTGCTGTTTGATATACCCACGATCAGAGCCCTTTCAGATCCCTGGAGATGATAGTGTCAGATGGCATTCACCTGTCAAGCATTTGTGGGTTCTCGAACCTGTTAATGTTTTTCTTCCTTTGCTTGCAGTGATCACTGGTCAGCATCGAAATGGCGTAATTTCAGCCCGAACGCGGATTGATGTTCTTCTGGACACCTTTAGAAGGAAGCAGCCCTTCACTCACTTCCTGGCCTTTTTCCTCAATGAAGTTGAAGTTCAGGAGAGATTTCTGAAGTTCCAGGAGGAAGTGCTGGAGAAGTGCTCCATGGTAAGTAGAAAGCAAAATCTTTTTTTTTTTTAAAGTAAGAAATGGCTCATGATTCAAGCAGGAAAATAGATACATCTGCCCATAGGCTTTTATACGAGATATGGAGCATCTCCCTTTAAAAATGTATTTATTTGTTTTGTGTGTGTGAATGTGTGTGGGGCACACCTGCCCCTGTGGAGGCCAGAGATTGGTGGGAGGTGTCTGCCTTCTCTCCTCTGTCTACCTTCTGTTTTGAGACATGGTTTCTCATTGAACCTAGAGCTTGCCACTTGGCAGTTCTTGCTGGTCAGCTAGCCCTTGGGATCCTCCTGCTTCTGTGCCCCCCCATCTTCCCTCCTTGCCCATGCTGAAGATACAGATACCTGCTGCAGCACCTGACTTTTAGCTAAAACTTTTTTATTTTATGTGGGTATGTGTCTACAGGTATGTCTGTGTGAGGGTGTCAGATCTCGGAGTTACAGACTGTTGTTAGCTGCCATGTGGGAGAGCTGTCAGTGCCCTTCACCACTGGGCCATCTTGCCAACACCAGCGCCTGGCATTTATGTGGGTACTGGGAATCTGAAATCAGGCCCTCTTGCTCATGCAGCAGGCACTTTACCTACTGAACCATCTCCCTAGCCCTCGTCTTTTTAATTTTCAGTTATATTATTTCATGTACACATGAGTTTTGCCTACATGTGTAGTCTATGTGCTATGTGTTGCCTGGTGTCTGAGGAGGCCAGAAAAGGACATTGGATCTTCTGGGATAGGAGTTGCTATGTAGCTGAGAATGACTTTGAACTCTTGCTCCCCCTGCCAGCGTTTCCCAAGTCCTGGAATTACCGTGCCTGCCTGGAAGGCCATTCCTATGGTACGGTATTCCATTCCATGCCTTTTGGGTGGCAGATGAAGGAAGTACCATTATTTGCTGGTTTTCTGCCTCCAGGTAGTTGTGGCTCCTTTGGGATTAGTACTGTTTATAAAGACAAATTGGTGCATAGAATCATAGGGCCGGAGAGATGGCTCAAAGTTTAAGAGTACTTACTGCTCTGGAAGACTTGGGTTCAGTTCCCAGCATCCACATGGCAGCTCAGAACTGCCTAGAACTCCAGTTCCAGGGGCTGCAATGTCCTCTCCTGGCTTCTGTGGGCTTTGGTTGTGTTCCAGATCTTCTGAAACTCTTGGTCTCAAGCAGTCCTCTGGCAGAAGTGGAAAAGCCATGTGTGTGTGTGTGTGTGTGTGTGTGTGTGTGTGTGTGTGTGTTTGAGTCTTCATGTATTTATCCAAATTATTGTCAAGAAATTTGGGTACTTCAAAGTAAAACTTTCTTTAGGCTTCTTTCCCTGCTTTTGCCAATACTAGATGTTCTTCTGTGTTGTTTTGTCATAGGAAGGGACAAAAGAGGCAGAGGTTTCATTTGCAGGCTCTTCATTACAAAGTGTGTTCCAAAGGAAACTCAGGACACAGAGTGGGATGCTGTGCAGGACACATGATGGAAGGGGTGCTGTGCAGGACACATGATGGAAGGGGTGCTGTGCAGGACACATGATGGACAGGGATGCTGTATAGGACACATGATGGACAGGGATGCTGTGCAGGACACATGATGGAGGGGATGCTGTATAGGACACATGATGGACAGGGATGCTGTGCAGGACACATGGAGAGGGTGCTGTGCAGGACACATGATGGAGGGGATGCTGTGCAGGACACATGATGGAGGGGGTGCTGTACAGGACACATGATGGACAGGGATGCTGTGCAGGACACATGATGGAGGGGATGCTGTGCAGGACACATGATGGAGGGGATGCTGTGCAGGACACATGATGGAGGGGATGATTTTCAGGAAGGGCTTTGTTAGGCTGTAGTATTTTCAGGTCACTTGTCTTTTAAGTACTTTCACGTTCTGCATATAGGTCACGTTTTAAACAGCCGTTTCAAGGCTGTTTAACTTTATAAAAATATCAGTGTTGGTGAGATGGCTTAGTGGGTAAAAGAGTTTGCTGTGCAAGCCCACAACCTTGGTTTGGTTCCTGGAACCCATGTACGTCGGGAGGAGAAAACTGAGTTCACAAAGTTGTCTTTTCACCTCTACATGTGTGTTGTGGCATGCACACATACCCCTTACCTCCCATTTACACCCACATATACACCACACACACACACACACACACACTTACACACACCTCACCACACACACCCACACACATACCACATACACTCACACACACTTGCTTGTTTTTCATCCTGGAAGCTAGTTCTTTGAAGAGTATATGGTTTGCAAATATTTTCTTCTATCGGGTGGTGGTGGCACACGCCTTTCATCCCAGCACTCGGGAGGCAGAGGCAGGTAGATCTCTGTGAGTTCAAGGTCAGCCTGGTCTACAAGAGCTAGTTCAGCCTCTAAAGCCACAGAGAAACCCTGTCTTGAAAAACCAAAAAAAAATTTTTTTTGTCTCAAAATGTAGTTTGTCTTTTTATTCTCTTACCAGTTATTTTTTGTGGAATAAATATATTACATTTGAATGGTCTAGTTTATAATTTTTTGTATTGTAGATATTCTGATGTCACAACTAGCAACTTTTTGCATGCATAGCTATAAAATATGAAACTCCACTTATGCCTTCTTTCAGATTTTGTATGGTTTTGTTTGTTTTGCTTTTTTATTTTTAGGTATTTAGTTTAGGTTTTTTTTTTTTTTTTTATTTTGAGACAGGGTTTCTCTGTAGCTTTGAAGGCTGTCCTGGAACTTACTCTGTAAACCAGGCTGACCTCAAACTCACAGAGATCTGCCTGCCTCTGCCTCCCAAGTGCTGGGATTAAAGGCGTGCGCCACCAACGCCCGGCTTAATTTAGTTTTTTTATATTTTGTTTTTTTATTTTTAAATTTAAATTAGGAACAAGGTTGCTTCACATGTCAATTCCAGGTCCCTCTCCCGCACCCTCTGTAAGCGTTTCGTCGGGATGGGTCAGGACAGGATGGAACAGGAGTGGGTCAGGTATTCTGGCACTCGGGAGTCACAGAATACCCAGTGTTACACAGCTCAGGTGGAAAGGTATCCTGGAGCTCGGGAGCCAAGGATACTGAGTGTTACACAGCTCAGGTAGAAAGGTATCCTGGAGCTCGGGAGCCAAGGACCACCACAGGTTGCAGTAAGCTTGGCAGCTTACAGCCTTGCCTCAGAGAAAGGCTTCTCCGGTGTATCAGCTCCGCTCCAGCAGGACAGGGTCTTCCAGCTGGGGATGTTCGCCTAGTGTAGCAGTTTTGCTCCGCAGGAGGTTTCTCGGGCGAAGTTGCTACAGTTCAGCTCTGCTCCTGGAGAGCCGAGGGGAGAGCAGGGAGCCGGGCGGGAGCAGAGTGTAACAACTCCGCTCTGCCAAGGAAGGTTTCCCGGGCAAGTGTTACAGCGCTGCTCGCTCTGCTCTGCTCTGCTCTGCCCAGGGCCGCCTTTGCTCTGTCGCAGCCGCAAAAGAAGATCTTCACCCGAAGCTCATCCAAAGGGGTTTATTGGAAGACAGCTGGACCAGCCAAGCTGAACATACACAGGGTTTATATAGGGATTGGGGAAGTTTTTCCAGAGTAGGGATTGGTCCAATTTCAGTGCTGAGCTCAGATTGGCTAGAGCTCTGCTCCGGGATTGGTTACTTTTTTACACAGGATTAGGGTCAGATTTGGCTCTGGTTTCAGGGCCAAAGTGTGTTTCTTTCTCTGGTCCTTTTTAGCCTTTTGCCTCCAATTTTAGGGCCAGGGTACATTTCTTTCACTGACTCAGATTCCAGGGACAAAGTGTGTTCCTTTGGCACTGGTTTTAGGGTCAGGGTACATTTCTTTGGTTGTGGTTGCAGGGCCAAAGTGTGTTTCTTTGGCTCTGCTCAGGGTGTGTTTCTTTGACTGGTCCCTTTTCCCTACACCCTCCCCTCCTCCCGCACCCTCCCACCAACCCTGGTATTTAGTTTAGTTAATCTTTGTATAAGGTGTGACACTGAGCTGTGGCTGTGGCTAGGTATTAAGTGTTTGTGTATTTTTATTGCCAACCCCCACCCCTAAATGAAGGTAAGTTAGTTATTTTTTTAGAGACCTATTTATATTTATTTATGTGTAGGTCTCTGTCCCATGTTCATGAAGTGCCTGTGGAGCCAGAAGAGGGCTTCAGATTCAATAGAGGTGGAGTTAATGAGCCATCCTGGGGGGCTGGGAACCAAACCTTGCTGCCTTGCAAGAGCATCCAGTGCTCCTAACCACTGAGATCTCTCCAGTCTCCTCCCTTTTGTATATGAATGTCCATGCCATGTTTTCTTAACCCTGTAATAAAGACAGTTGGGCTGGGTGGTGGTGGCACACTCCTTTGATCCCAGTGCTTGGAAGGCAGAGGCAGGTGGATCTCAATGAGTTCAAGGCCAGCCTGGTCTACAAAGTAAGTTCTAGGACAGCCAGAGCTGTTGCACAGAGAAACCCTATCTCAAAAAACAAACAAACAAAAAATTTGAAATAAAATACATCAGTGGTCAATATCTGTATTTTTCAGAGAGGTAGACTAAGGTCTGATTCTGGAGTTCTTTCTTACTTGCAGTTGAGCAAATGAGCTTGTCTAATGACCTGATTGGGAGCATTGTAGGAAGAATTAAATTAGTTAAAGTACTCAGCATGGTGCCTGGTTCATAATAGATATTTATTGGGTGTTAGCTGTCCTTCCATATTTACTGTTGGCTAGGTAAAAGTGTTGTTTGGAGAGTTAAGATTAGGTGGGCTGGGGATGTAGCTCAGATGGTAAAGTGCTTCCCTAGCATGCTGGGAGTCTTGGGTTCAATGCCTAATACTGCATAAACAGGGTATACTGGTGCATGCCTGTAATCCTAGCATTAGGATATAGGAGTCCCAGTCATCTTCAGTTACAAAGTGAATATGATCCAGCCTGGGAAACATGAGACACTGTCTGGAAAACAAAAGATTAGATGAAGTTAGCTTCGATAGTTGTAGTAGTGGCAGTGACAATTTTTAAAAAAATCTTTATTATGA